TAGATTTAAGGGTTTAGACTGGACGTTGATGAGTCAGTCAGGATATATAGATTACAAGAATTATATAGATGTTACGCAACAGAAAAATTTAATGATGATATATTGCTTCAAGCGTAGTAGTATGTTGTATGTGTGTATAAATAGATACATATACCAATTTAGTATAAGGTAGAGCAATGTAAAGTGAATTTTAATAGCTTAAATATGTATTAAGAAATATATTTAAAAAGTTGTATTGTTAAATAAGACAAATTTAAAAACGGAAATAAATGCGGTAAACTATGCGTCTTTCAATAGATGTTTTTTAAATAAAATTATATAAATCTTTTAAACACATTGCAATAAAGAAATAACTGAAATAATAATAAATAATTCAATAATATCAAAATACAAAACTGAAATTTTACAAAACATTTCCTTATTAAAATTAATATATTTTAAAATTTTCAGTACTTATCGAAATACTCCGTAAATTAATTTTTGTCTTAACTATAGACATACAGACGCGCGGTACGCGCTATTTAGTTTTAATATTATAGGTAAAAGTACTCTATTACTATCACATTATTAAGTTTTATTTTAATATCTCTATGCAGAATAGCTAAAGGAACAGAATTACATGTGAACAATTATTCAGTTCTGTTTAAAAGATAGGTACTGATGATATTAATATTTCATACAAAAAAATGACACAAAAAATTCTTCTAATACATTTACTTTTTTATTTTTTCGCTTGAATATTTGTTTGTTATAAATTTTGAACAGTAGTAATTAAAATATAAATTGAATGTATATAGGACAGAATATATAATATAAATTGTTACGTTATAGAAAAGGCCTGCTACAGCTGGTCTGCATATTTCAGTCGATCTTATACTTACTATATACATTCTCCCTGCTCGGGTTTCGTAGCATCCTAGGCTGTTTGCGGAAACATAAAATGCTTGAGCTCAGGGATGGTATTACATTGAGAAAAAAAATTGACTGTACGCGCGGACTAAATTTGTATAATTGTTGATCCAATGGTTGATTCAACAATTATTATTAAGTTGCACTAAGAAAAGTATAATCATTCTATAGTTTATTCATGTCATCCATCAAAATTTTTTAATAAAAATTAGTTAATTTAACTAATGTTAAACCAACTAATGTTTAGTTGAACGTATCAGACCATTTTAGTTGGATGAAATACATTTAGCGTTTTTCAATAAATTTCTTTCTCAGAGTAGCTATAAATAGTGCGCCCTCGCGCGTGCTTGAGTGTTTGTGTATGTGTGTGGTGTGTAATAGGATATATATTACATATTATATAATTATACATATATTACATATATTTTAAATATATAAATATATATATGTATAATATATTATATTATATTATTATATGAATTTTATATGCATATATAATAACAACTATGACCAGTAAATACACCAGCGCACACTCGACAAAGTTTCACACAGGCATACAATTTATAAATTAATAGCTTTTCTTAGGTTAGCTCAAACCTTTTATGGCTCCGTGAACAACATGTATGCCACGAAACGAGAGGAGTGAAATTAACAGAAAACAATATCGGCCGTAAAGCGCAAATCTGCTGTAGACCTGTATGTCATTTTGTACCAATCAGGACAAACTTATTTTAACTTCTTTTTCGACATATCATCTTCCGTCAGTTAATATATATATATATATATAGAACATTTGTTAATCATGCTCTATCATCCAATTGACCCTCAAGAATGGATTCCAATTTATTTATAGTTTCAGGAAGCATTTTAGAACTACTAGGACTATCACGCTGATCCATAAACCATATCCTGGCCATCTCACGAGTTACTTCCCATTCGTACAAATCGCGGAATATTGGGCAGGCATATTTCGGCATACAATATTCGCTGGCAAAGTTTATAGCATCCTCGAATATTCGTTTGTTATCATCTAACCATCTATTTTTGATACACAAGCGCAGCCAGAGAAACCTGCGAGATACGTGCGCGATATGTTACTCAATCAACTGCAAAACAATCTGAATATAGAAAAGTATATTTACCTTATTTCCCTCACACAAATCTCCTGGTCACGCAGAAACGTATCTTCTATCTTTCGTAACTTCTCTGCCGTCAGAACCGTATTAGGCAATGCAAGTAAATAGGTTAAAAATTCTATTATAGCAAAATCATTAGACTGGTCCAAGTTTTTGGCAAAACACGCTGTTTCTTGTTCGACCCACCTCTGCCAACGACTCCTTATGACCATGGAATTGTAATAAGAAGGTGGGAAATCTGGTTCATTAAACCATTTATCCCAATCTACAGTATTTAAAATCTAGCCACAAGATAAAAGTTGTTATTCGTTGTTTAATAAACTAAAATTAAGAACTATAGTTTATTTGCATAAAAATCATGTTACCTCGGGTTTTCCATTAGTAGAAAAATATCTCTTCAGAAGAATCTCAAAACGATTAGTCGTTAGGATTTTACGTTCTTTACAATGTGGCCATAAACCATTTACAAGAAAACTTTTGAATTTTTCGGGGCCACCTATTTTATCTTGTAAGTAATTCAAAAACACACACCCTTTTTCCGACACGTACTTGATAATGTTTATGGGCAATAAATTTTGCGTAAAAACAGGTACTAAAGAGACGGTTCGTAACTCTGGCTGTAACAGTAATTCAGTTCCAGAAAATAGTGTAAAAATATGTAAATGTAACTGTAATAGTATAATTCAGTTTCAGAATATAGTGTAGTAAAATTATGTAAATGTAACTGTAATAGTATAATTCAGTTTCAAAAAATAGTGTAGTAAGTATGTAATGCATATGAAGTGGAAAGCACACGTAGGAAGTGGAAAATAATATTATCAATCATATTTAATACATTTCTTTTTGTAATTTTATCCAAGCAAAATTAATACTTTACCATATTCAGCACATTGTTAATGCCTTTTATTTTTAGAAATTCGCGAATATCTTCGGCGTCTATTATATTATTTATAGGATTCCTATAAATGAATGTACTAAGGCCTTTAATCAACCACAAGTGTTTAAAATCGTCAATCACAACTGTCCTTCCTATCCAGCTTTCAATGATGTTTTGAACAATTGTACTGATCATAAAATAATGTCCTTCAAGTAAAGTTGACGACACGAATGTCACATCAGGATATTGCATATCGAATTCCGGCACATTTGGTGGAAGCACACATACATTAACTATATCAACATATATCATTTTATAAACATATTAAAAATAAAATAGTAATAAAAGGAACAAGATTGACAATTCCTTATAAAATAAAATGCATATAAACATATTATACATATAAATTGAAACGACAAAATAAGTTGACATATTACCTATATAATTGAAATGATACGACTCTTTGATTTTAGACAGCATGGGCATAATTTTATGAATAGCCCATATACCCTCATTTAAATATCTCTCTACAGTCCACAAGTTGTATCTTAGATTCCCAGTGCTTACCTCGCGGTTTCTTAGTTTACCTACTACAATATATATCTCATGCGGTGCTATATTTTGCAATAATTGAAGAAATGTGTATTCAACTATGTCATTCGCTTCACGCATACTTTTTGCATTCCCAGGCATCATAACGTCAAGGCCACAACCGCTTGGTACAGTAATCTAAAAAATGTAAAGAAAACATCAATAAAAGTTGAATAAATAAATCATTCTGTAAATAGATAAAGTAGTAAATATAAAAGTGTAAAATTATAATTGCAATTTTACATGCTCACACTTATCTCTTTAACATATATGTTATACTTTTCACTTTGACGTTCTATTAATTTTATTAATAATATCAATGTCAATCAATCAGACATTACGTTATTGTGCTTACAAATATAAATACAAAATGCATACTGTGTTTAAATTCTTACCTTCGATTCGAATGTGATTCTATTTGATGGTGTATCTTGACATGGAAATATAGCTCTGGCATGTGTAAGCTGAAAATATTGATTTGTGAGTACATCAATACACGTTGATACAAGAGAACTAAATCATTCTTTTATAATTCACCTTGCTGTTAGATATCAAAAGGGGTCCACCATCGGAAGTTTGATGATGTTCTAGCCAATACAGTGCATTATATATTGGAACTGTTTTATAATTAATCTGAATAATATATCTGAAAATACGATGTATCGTCATATATACATATAAAATATCTGTATCAATAATTTCGAAAATCTCTGTATTTTTCAAACATATTCTATACTTACTTATTATCACTAACTTCCATTTCTTTAGAGCTTGAAGGGCCTGGGTCTGCACTACCCACATTTGGTAGGGTAATGGTAAGTTTCCTGCCAGAGTTATTATGATGATTTCCAAAAAAGGGATATAAAATTTCCCCAGTAGAATAGATACTGACTTCAGATATGTCAAGTCCGTAGGTATCTAAAATCTAAATGCTTGATATTATTAACTAAACTGAAATATATATACATGTATACTAAAATTAAAAGAAAATGTTTACTAACTAGTTCGTTACACGTCAATACTTTCTTCTTTACTGTCAATATTGCCTTGCCCTCAAGAACATGACGTTTGAAATTCACGGATAATTCTAAGTGGGTGTGAGTCACAGCAACGAGGTCTAACAAATAACAAATTATAAAAACTGAAATTTATTCAAATACTTAACGAGGCAATATATAAATAACAATTATAAGTACGTGTCGAGAAATATAATACATTACAATTACAAATATAATTTTAAAACTCTATATAGAGGACATAGTTTTAGTAAAGAAATTTCAATAGCGTTATGAAATGTTTGACATATATTTTTTGTATTTAAAGAAACAATTTAATGACCATGCTATAGTGAAATAATGGCATAATTTACAAAATTGTGCGGATTATATTTAGAAACTTGGAGATACGAACGACAGCGTCGCCTTTCAATACCGATAAACTTGTAATTACCCGATATCAATGTTTTATTTTCTTTAGAAAACATAACAAAAATAAAAGTTTAATATTTAATATTATACTTATACTTATATAAATAATTACGTAATTAATATACCTGGGTTCGAATAAGAATACGGAATATCTTCTGCAGGTGACGGATCCATTTTAAAATTTGTGTGAACCTTTCCAAATGCGTACCGACAATAGAATAACTATGTTATCAAATTAAGAACAGTATCGCTCGCTCTCTTCCCTCTCCAACTGATCCCTCTCCTACTGTCCTACCTTCAACGTTTAAATTTTCTCGTGTTTAACAACATATTTGTTTATTTGTTAGAGTATGAAGTGACTTTCATGTACCGCACAAACTGTTGACGGTTACGTTTGGCAAATCAAATATGCACAATAAATATTTATTTTTCTTAACGCACGATTTATACTAAAATAATAAATAACAATATATAATAATATAACGATATAATATACATGTATATAGTGGGAGCGTCTATAACTAAAAAAAAAAACAGCTCGGTGAAACGGCTAAGGCACCACTTTGTAAAATGAAAAGTTTTTTAAAATATTTGTTTGCTTTTTAAGGTTTATGTAATAAAGTTCTTATAAAAAGTTTTCGATTGAGTAAATTATTTTTCTTAAATAAATTGCCAAAGTTAGGTATCATTCTTATGCCTCAAAGATGATAAGTACGTTCTTAAAAAAATTTAAAATTTTATGTTTGCGATTTAAAAATGATTAAAGTTTGAATATTAATTTTTGAAATAACCGACGACTATCATTCCAATATCAAAGAATAACGCAACACGAGGAGACTGAGACAAAAATTATTCCACAATATTTTATCGAAAGAATTTTCTTTGAATCGAAATAAAATTCTCATCATGTTCGTGTGGCGAAATGGAGCAAATAGAATTATTCGTGGCAAGGTGACAATATTCTCCACTTGTCCTGGTTGACCAGAAATTTACTCGAGAACGATTACTGTGCCGGATCACCCTGACTCGAATTATCATATTTTCATTCGCGTCTAATTTTGTTGTAATATCTTCAAACGTTATTATAATGTCTTGCAACAAAAATATATCATATAGAATGATATTTCAGTACAAATGTTTGCAACAATGGAAACGAAAGCTATGCAAACTCGTGTGATCGAATTCGCCGTAAATATGGAAAGCGTCAATTTTAACGATAAATACTAATTATTTTACTGTTCTGGCGTATGTTTCTAAAATTTATGAAATAAATAATTGATGAATAATGAAAGTTATGAAATAAACATTTCATCACAATTCGACATGATTGGTTATATATTATTCGAACGACGAATGCATGATTTATTCAAGTATGTTTCGTGCTCGACCGGATTCAGCGGAGCGCGATTTATGCCATGCGATTATGGGCTGCGGATGAGAGAAACGACTTACTTTATCGCGATTAATTTGCACCGGGACCTCTTGTCACACTTGACGGATGACGGATACTGTCGTGGTTCGAATCGCTCGGAAATCTTGAGGCGTCAATAGTCTGCCGCAAACGCGAGACGGAGATCTTGCCGAGCATCGATTTGATGCCCTTACGACAGAAATCTTGCGGTCGAAAAAATCTTGCTCGCGAGGCAGACTCCGAGCGCGAACGCGATTCGATAACAGAGATTTCGTGCGAGCTTCTTGGATACGCTCGATACTCACTCGTGGAGAATACTATCTCTCTGATGGACACTGCCGCACTTGGATGATTGGGCGGCGATGTCGCGCATACAAATCGGTTGAGAATGTTGCGTTAAGCCGAGAGAACTTGCTTCTGATACGTGCAAAACCAGTGTGCCGCGATCGTTCTCTTCCGCCGGGAATGTTCTCGAGGGCCGAAAACGAAGGCGAGATGCGGAACGCGGCGCTCTCTGATTGATCATCCAACGATTGACGGAGTTGCGCTGTGGGCACAATTTTCGCGAACAAAAACTCTGCGCGTGTTAGGAATTGAGCCGTGCTCCGATTCTCGACAATTCCGGCATGCGCGCACCTGTACGTGGGGCGGGATCGACGCGTGATCTACCACGCGGGACGGCGTGATCGACAACCCCATGCGCGGATCGAATCCGTGCCGCGAAACTGACAATAGGCACGTCGCAGTCAGCCTCGCGGCCCGATTACCTAGAGAATATGTTCGATTTTTAACAAAGTACAATTGCAATAAATAACATTCATTCTGTATGACTTAATCTTGAATACACGTTCAAGCAATTTTTTTATAATTATTATTTTTTAATTATCATTTTTCCGTAAATTAGGCTGTCAAAATGTTTATTAGCAATACATGTTTTTACAGGATTAAATGCCATGTGACAAATAATTTAAAAAATTGAAAACGCCGAACAAACGTTATTCTTTTATCATATTGGTCACCCCGTTTGCTATCAAACATAATAATATTCGTCTTTAAATAATTTCTTATAAACCGTTCACCTCTATCCTATTAATACTTTTTTCAAGTATCAACACATACAAAGGTATAGGTGATCTAAGGATGCTTCATATTTAATTCTTTAAGACAACAATCTTGCCTTTTTATTAATTTCATAAAATTCGAAAAATTAAATGAGAACCGCGATTACGCTAAGTCTATTAGCTACATCCTGCATAATGCAGAAAATATCTTATATATTCTTACAGTTTTAAAGGCACCTAGTTACAAAAACTTATTTCGGAAATAATATAATTTCCGACAAAGATAAATTGCTTCGTTTAATATCCTGCAGCCATTAACATAATTCTATACACATCATTCTTTAAATAGTTAAATGTAATTATATATATTTTTTAATATTTTTAGAGAAATTTTTGAAAGAGAAATGTACGTTCTACAGATTAATATTTTATTTATGTATTAATATCCTATATTTAAGTAGTCCGTCATTTGTAGCGCAATTGGCAAAGAAATATAAATTTATATATTTTTGTTGATTCTACATAGTTACAATTAGTTTAGGATTTTTATGTGTAGATCCATTGTCTTTCCGATTGCACTATCAATAACAGAGTACTTTGATATAATTGAGTATTTCTATATTTTTATAAAATATTGAAATTATTATACAACGGAGAATTTGTGGTAACATCACTATGCGCACAGTAGGGCTATTTCAAAGAGCAAGATATTCCTCTATAAAAAAATATATATAATATATGTATAGAGATAAAATTATATTTTGTCACTACAGTTCATAAATATCAAACCATTTAAATATTTAGTCACACAGTAATTATTAAATATACAAGATATTTTAAATCTATAACAACAGACTGATATACCTTTGTCACGTTTTATGTTTTATTACGTTCTAGTGTATTGATTCATAAAAGAAATAATATTTTAAATTAAGGTATTCCTTTCACGGAGGAGCGTATTTGATAAGCGCTTAAGCAGGGCCTCAGCAAATTCTTATGTATATTGCATTAAACTTATATAAAATCAAGTTATATAATAGATTATTATGTTTAATAATAAGAAAAAAGTAAAAATATTATATGTATTTAAAAATTTTTCATTTTTCGGTAAATTTTACTGTCAGAACAATATAGCAACGCTGCGCTTTTCAGGTCGCCGATTGTAAAATGTGAAGTTGATAACAAAAGTGTCAATTTCATTAATCAAATAATATTGTGACATTTGCTTTTTATCAAAAAAAGATTTTATAATAATAATGAGTGATAAGAAACATAAAGTGAGAAGTAATGTGGGCAAAAATAAGGGACAATTTGTGAAAATAAAAGTTGATAATAAACCGTACATTATGAATGAAGTGTGACATGAGCGCACAGCTTGCAGCGTTGCCAAATAATTTCTTGAAAGTCGCCATCAAAAATATTCATCTATAAACCACATTTCAAGTCAATTTTTAACATAAATATTTTGTTTAAATATTCGGTGACTTTGTATTTTTATCGGCACCATCGAAAGTATAGAGTTTAGCAAATATATAGCGCAGTTAATATTTAATATCTTAAATCTTAAGATAAACAAATTATTACATTGAAATGTAGAAAATAGACTTTTTCGATAACGTCACATATAAAATATCGAATTTTCAACGTCATAATTCTTTATATGTTCGGTAATGTGGTTTAATTTTTTTCTGGCGTAAAGATATGCATTTTAACTTTCTCATACCAAAAAATCAGTTAATTCTTAAGACTTTGGTGTCATATATGAAAGGAATACCTTAAGTATCGCATCTATATCTTTGTAAAATAAATTAATAAATAACAATGTCGATTGCTGCAAAGAGTTGAGATTAGGTATTGCAAAATGCAATGAAACTCTCACAGAACCGCTATACACGATCCTATCTATAACATCATTGATACTGGTAAATATAAACACATATATTTTTCAACAACATTAATTGCAGTTATTAAATAGTCGTTCATGGTGCCGAATGTGGAGGTTGGAGTCAGTAATTTGAAACAGCACTGTGCTTCCCATCCGCATAATAAGATGCTGTTACGACATCGTCATCCATATTAATGAGACATTAACCCTGGAAACATATTTTTTTATGAAATATGCAATAAGCGTAGGCATGTGTATGCAGGTAAAATAATGTTTTTTACTAACTTGATTTTTGTGAGGGCTGTGAAGAAGCACACACTGCGTCATAAAGAACGCTGCCATAGCTTTACCGCTTAATATGCCGTAATGTGCGCGCGAACAATTGCCAAAACTTCCATTACGAAACTGTGAGTGAAACCACTCAATCCACCATTCTGATGTAACACATCATCATCATCAGGATTTTAATAGTTGAATTTCTAACAGTCCGTTGAGAATAATCGTCATTATGAACTCATTCACCTCCCGTATATCGATGTACTTTCGCAAATGAAAAAAAATTTAGGTTGCCTTGATATCTCTCTATCCTTCCACCTGGTAGATAAGATAAAGGCGTTATATCCACCCTGTATCTTCCTTTCAAAGTCACCTGTAAATAATTAAAATATAAAGAAAAATTAAAATGAAATAATTTAAAATATAAAGAAAAATTCTTGCATTTTTTAACGCTTAGCATTATAAATTTAAAAATATACGTGTTGAAAACTTGAAAATATCAGGAAACGATAACAAGTGCAAATATTAAATTATATATTATATATTTTTTTTTCTTTTAAGAAAAGATTCTTACATGTTTACGTCTATGAGTAGTGAATGATTTTAAACGCAAAGGTGAGCGTGGTCTTTGCTTTTGTATATAGGGGTACCAAAGTGGCGGGATTTCCTATACAAGTGCGTGTTGCATTGTCAGATGTAACATTGTTCTCGAGATGATCCTCGTCTAAGCTGAATATCATATCACTATCATCTAACAGAGGAAATAAAAGAATTAATGCCTTTGTTTTAAAAGATATGGATGGCACTAGACGTTCAGCTACAAAAATGTAGCAACTACATATGTATAAGCATGAATTATAATATAAAATCCGATAATATAATTATACATATAATTTTCGATAAAAATGTAAATGAAACTTGTAAACAGAATTGCAAAAAGTACCTGATTTTCTTACTTGATCCTTGCTCAAGGAACAACACACGATTTTCCTTTTATATTTATTCGTGATCAAAGGTAAACCAAGTGCCATACCAACACCTACCCGTCAATCGTCCTGCATCCAAAGTAGTCTTTATCGCGAGTATGGTTGACAGACAATATAAATTTTATCGGTATTTATTGATAAAGCTTGATACCCGTGTTTCACTACGGTATGTTAAATAAAAAGAACCAAGTCGATATCTCATCGGGCCTAAGAGATATGGAGAAATTCGTAAAAATATATTTTACCTCGTTTCACCCCCAGGAGTAACGACAACCGGCGTTAGTCCAGTCAAAATACGGAAAAAAGGAGGGGTACCTAGAAAAAATTGCAACACAAGGTTTTATTACGTCATTGTGTTCAGAAAAATATACTGAACGACATATTCAAATTCCGGCATTTTCCGCTATCCCTAAGTATGTTTTTTATTAACAATTTATAAACAAATTTGTTTTTCTCTACAAATACGATGAATTTTCAAATTTTTGTAGAGATTAAAGTTGTAGAACAGACAAATATCTACAAAAAATGTTCTTATGAATTTTTTGAAATATCTCACATTATTTGAGATATTTGCAACAAGAGCTACTAGGCTACGCGCGGAGTGGAGCGGAGAGTTCTAACAAGCACACGGCAGTCTCTACCGGTCGCTGCTAGTTCTCTAGGTTCTACAAGAAACTTGAGTTGGTTCTCGATTCATTCAAAAAATTCATAAGAACATTTTTTGTAGATATTTGTTTGTTCTACAACTTTGATTTCTACAAAAATTTCAAAATTCATCGTATTTGTGGAGAAAAACGAATTTGTTTATAAATTGTTAATAAAAAACATACTTAAGGATAGCGGAAAATGGCGGAATTTGAATATGTTGTTCAGTATATTTTTCTGAACACAATGACGTAATAAAACCTTGTGTTGCAATTTTTTTTAGGTCTAATCGTATTTTGACTGGACTACGTTACCGACGAGGCGGTGTGACCGACTGTGACGTGACAGTTGATATTATCGACTACGGCTGGCTATATTTATATACGGACAGATTGTCACACGGCGTTATTACGAGATAAGTAATTGCAATAAAACGAACGCGACAGTGCGACGATCAGGCCTCGTTAGTGCGATATTTTGTCGAGGTGCAAGATACTTGCGGTGGAAAATTGGGGGCAATCGTAGGACTTCTTCCATTTCCAACATTTCGATTGTTGCTACAAGCCAGATTTCGTGGTATTTACTTTTCAGCTGCTCCAAACTTGACAATCGTCCTTGATCGGACGAATAATAATAAGCATTAAATTATTGTAGAAATTATTCTTGGTGTGAAAGCAGTCTTCAGTGGCCGGTGGTGCTTTAGTGTTTACTCGAGATGGAGGATGCGCAAGAAGAGGTTAGTCGTGAAAATTTCTTTATAATTTTTAATTAAATAAAATGTCTTGATGCGAATCTTCTGTTTATCAGATACAAAGATTGAAATTATGTAAATCAATCATGTCTTAATTGCTGCTTTAAAGTAATTTTAAAGCATACACACAATGTAAAGGGTGCTTCTAATTGTGATAAACTTAGAGTGAATTTTTTTCTCATTAGAAGTTAGGTTCTGAAGTTACTTATTCAGATTCATTTTTATTTTTTAATGCTAAATATTAAAATAATATTTCTGTTTATTAAATTTCAAATATATTCTTGTCGCTTTCTGTAAAATAATTCTTAATCTTATTGTGGTTCTAGTTGCAATTTGTGGTGGACGATGTAAGCAACATTATCAAGGAAGCGATTGAAGTGTCAATAGGTGGCAATACGTATCAGCATAACAAAGTTAATCAATGGACTTCGAACGTGGTAGAGGCGTGCTTGGGCAATCTTACAAAATTACAGAAGGCTTACAAATATATCGGTATGCAGAACAAACTAATTTCTTAGCATTAGGAGAGAGGTTTTATATTAACGTCTCCCTTCTGTACATTCTGGAATAATGTCGTTCTTCATCTGAATTTCACTTTTCCTTAAATCGAATTGTTGCAGTGACTTGTACAATCATGCAGAAAAACGGTGCTGGACTTCATACCGCGAGTTCATGTTACTGGGATAACGCTACCGATGGCAGCTGCACGGTGCGCTGGGAGAATAAAACCATGTACTGCATTGTATCTGTTTTTGGACTGGCCTTATAAATTTATCTGTCTGCGAAACAAAATCCTGCGCTTGAAAAGATTTCAATAATTTGGCAATTATAAGATAGTGCCATTTTCAAAAATAAAACGTTCCGTTCTACCAGTTATTTGACAAAACTTGGTATTTTTGCACAAGCTACAGAAATTAGAGAAATAGAGGGGCACAAATGATTGTGCTGCTTAAAGGTAGTTACGCAATGCAATGAATAATATATGTGATATAAATGAAATCGAGTATATATACACAAAATAGGGAGATTCTGCTAAGATATATTAACTTTTCTTATATTTACTTTTACGAAAAATGATATTCTTTCTATCTATATTGTAACTTGTGTGAAAAATAAAGGCGAGATATCGATCATTCTTATATTATTACACAAGAAAATTTTGTGCACGTTACGTAAAATAAGGTACCTATATCTAGATTCAGCACATGATCTAAAGTATATAGGTACCTGGTTGTTAGACAATAGAAAGAAATATAAACCATCAGCAATTTGCGCAGGTGTTAGTTTATACAATGCAGGAGAGTTTGGACGTATTTTATATTCAATTTGAATTTTACATCTGAAAATATTGTAGGTGTATTCAATGCTTACATTAATTATGGCTAGTAATTTGTATTATTCTAGAAATATCTTATTTTTACCTTATAAAATAAGCAGTTTCAGCAGTTTCTGGTGACTGTATGCGAAATGGACGTCCAAGAGATTTGTCTCGAGATACTTGACTGTCAAAATCTTCAATTTCAAAATCTAATTGTAAATGTGTTCCATCGATGTCTGTGACCCTTGATGTATCAAGTTCTAGGTTATCTAAAGTCTAATTATTCGATAACATATATTATTAACCAGTCAATATTTTTGATCGATATATAAAAAGTGTCTACTTAATGTTTCGATCTATAAGGTCATCTTTAGTGCGGTATAATAAAAACCGTCATTTATAAACAGAGATGAAAATATCTAGTCAGATTATAAAATTTGCAAATCTTGTAATCGTTTATATGGAATTAATGTGTCTGCATTAGGCCTTTTTGTAGAGTCTCTTGATGTGCCATTAAAAGTGGTGGGTCTGGCTTCTTTGGTAATGATGTTAAAGTAATGATAAAGTGTAGTCTGGTAAAAACGTTAAATCAATCTTAAAGAGAGTTTGTAAAATACATGTGTGTCAAACCATTGTTAAAAAGTAAGTCAATTCGATCCATCACGGTAATGGCACATCAAGAAACTCTACAAAAAAGTCTAAACCAGATACTTTCGTATTAATTACATATAGATGATATACAAATTTTACGAATTTTTTAATTTAATTAAATGTCATTAACTTATTCTATAAGTCTTTGTTACAACGCCCTAAAGATGACTTTATTACAAGTCAAAACGTTTGTCACATATTATTTATTTAAATTTATAGTATATTTTTAGCACATACACCTGGCGTGATACGTTAGCCCCTCTTATCTTCTTTGTTTTTAATTCTTTGAACTTTAATCTTCTATTACATATTTTTTAATTTCCGCATTTATTTGATTATTATAAGTGGCACGTGTAATCGATACCGATTTAGATTTGGTTGTGGATTTTAATGAAAAAGTAATTAAAGGAAAAGCGATTTTAACAATAGAAATAAGGACACCTTTAAATAAGAATATATAGTAAATTTGTACATTATTTATTTAAAATAATATATTCTTAGCATGTACACCTGTCTTGGTTTGCTAGCTCCTAATGTAATAAGTACATGACAGAAAATGATATATCAAAATGGGGAAATCATTATAGTAATTGCGTGTGAGATTTGTAAAATGCAAGCAATTCTTGGATCATTGTGTTAAATACAATATATTTCATGCATTTAAGAAGATGCGCAGAATGTTGTCAGTTAATTAAAATTGTGAAGAAATAATCTAATTTTTAAAAGTGTAAGTTACTAAAGAGCTAAGGATATGTGTGCAGCAGTTTCGTCTTTTAAATATTTTAATAAATTCCGTAAATAATAAAAAAAAAAGTAAATTTAAACTTTACACATGCTTACGTAGCTAAGTAAATAATTGAAATACCATAGTATCGCAAAAAAGTGTAGATCATTAGAACGCCTTGCAGTATCCATTTTATGAGAGTCGCGTTACGAGTTTTTTGAAATCACTTGCGATATAGTAATCTTCATGTCTAAACTGGCTGCAGTATTGGTTCTAACTTCTACCACTTTCTTTGTTTGGCAACATATTCTGTTTATTAGAATGTCGGATGTCAGAGTCAAAGTGACTGTGATTTCTCTCGCTTAAATATATTCGAATTAAATAAATTTAGTAAATCACACTGTAATACACTGCGGGATTGATTTACCTTAATTAAATCTTCTAACTCCCATTCCTTTCGTTCTTTCCACTCATACTCAGATTCACATTTGCTTTATTTTAAATAGGCAGAAAGCCTAGTAAAGGAATGCGCTATCAAGAAAGTATTTTTCGTGCCCGTTCACAAGTGCAACGGATACAGTTAGCTTCTCTGTTCGGTTTTTAACACTTTGGGTAATGGAATACTATCGCGTCAAAGTCATATTCGTTATAGTCGGCGAAAAACCATGTGATATTATGATGGGCCCCAAAAAATAAGCACTGAACTTCACAAGATATGCGCACACATATAATGGACACGAGACGAGATATTTTACATAATAAAGTAAGTGTCAAATATTTTATTCAATGCATCATAAGTTAATTACTAACAAATCGTTGATATGTTACAGTTCTTCGCTGCTCACACCACTCAATCTTGCAATCCGTATAAACACTCAATCTGAAATTGATTAAAAAATTATATTTTGATACATGTAAAATTTATTGTTATATAAAAACCCACAAAAAAGTATTAGGTATATGCATGCAAATTCTGCAAACAGATATATGTATATTTTTTATCAAAAATACCCGTTTAATAAAGCAGAATACTCTGGAACATTTGTTTCTCTAAAATGCTATTATTTCGATAAAAATTAATGTTAGTAATTAATTGAATACATAAAATGAAATATTAATTATATCCGTTGAAATGGACCGTGCTGCCCTGAGCGACAAATCGACATATAACATATGTGCTGATCACCGGCAGTGCAGACTCAAAACGACCGTCTGATTGCAGAGCACTTTTGATCTAATATATCCAATGAAAAAACAAACACAAAACCGGCTTTGAGCTTTTGCGGTCTAAAAACTTTTAACACTTTTTGTAAAATAATTTTAGATCAATTATTCTCTTCTCTTTATATTAAGCATTACGAATGTTATTTTTGCAATATTTTGGAAGCTCAATTTGACAATTCGTATATACTATTCTGTATCCTCAACTCAAGTTTGAGTAATATGGGTTATGCGGCAATGTAATCACAAATTTAAAGTACGATATAAAGTTTGTTATAATTACAGTTTTTACATGAAATTAACAATCGCGTTTATGAATTCTGCCGTTAAATAATTTACAATTTTTATCTTTGCATTTAGTAAAAGAAATTTGCGTGATTTTGGCGTGTTGCTAGTGTTATTTTTATTATAAGTTAAATTATTGCTAAATACTTATATTTCAGTTAGCTATATCATAACATTAATAATACGTGTCAATCGATCTATTCGGTATGTTACGTAACTTTTAGGTAGGGCTGTCAATACACTTATGGAATTTTGATAAAATCCCGCGTACGCTAAAGTCGCACTCCAAAGTTGAAATTCGTGCTGCAATTTCTTTCCCAATTGCAAAGGTGACGAAATCCTAATAAAATTAATAAAGAGCTTAAAAAAGCGATAAAAACCAAGAGACGTATAAAAGACTAATAGAATTATTCTTTTACACGATGGAGTAAGGCCGCATTGCACGTATCAACGTAGACATTTCTTGTGCAGCAATTTTGTTGAGAATTGTTGGGATTTTACCTCATCCACTTCACAGTCTGGACCTTTGACTACCATTTTTGAGTTCTTTTGAGACCTGTTGCAGGAAAACGATTTAAAAAGAAAAAATGAAAATCGTAAGCAAGCATGTTCTGTATATACATGGACGACAATTTTCCAAAGACGGAATCTTTAAATTAACGAACCGCTGGAACAAGTGTCTTAACGTATTAAAAGTAACTACGTAAAAAAATAGTTCATTGTACTTTTACACGTACTTACACGCATTTATGTGCTAATAAACATTTTGCATATTCTTCAAGAGTTAGTTCCTTAATATCTTAGTTTTAGTCCTATGCTTCTTATATGTGTACAAAATATATATTGCTTACTATGCCATGGCTTTCCACATACACATTAATATATAATTCCTATGATGCATACATAATTCCTTCATCATTCGTATACACAAATATATTATATATTATATATATCGAAAGGCTCACAAGATTAAAAATCAATCCAAAATAAAAGAACATCGAGCCGCAAGGTGAAGTGTTATGAAATTCTATATTAAGATAACAAATTGACAAACCTTTCGGACCCTTATGGGATCATCTTCAGTGTCAAAATACAATTAAGTCCAAAGTTCAGAAAAAGTTAACATACGTTACATACTCTTACACTAAAATTAACGCAACTAAATTAACGCAACAACGTTGAATCCGAAGTAGACCATACTATAACAATTGTGATTTTGTCAAAATTAATTCAGCGGGTTTGCAGAAGGAATAATATTATTACTTTTTAGCGTTGTTTCAAATCAAGACTTTGATTTACTAGCGCTTTCTATGTTTTTTTAATGTATTAAATGTAATTTTATGGTTAAAAAGAAAGTTATTTTTTGATCTACTCTCATATTATAATATATTCAATTCTAGCGCATAAATCCACTACAAATCGAATAATTTCGCAGATATTTTATTAGCAATAATAATTAAAATCCAACAAACATTAATTTTTAATAGGATTATCAGAAAAATCGACGAATAAATGTTACAGCTGTCTTTTAAGCATTAGGAAAAAAAAATTAATTTCCTAACTAAATTAATTTTGTTATAAATATTATAAATAAAAAATTGATGTCAACAACATACACATTATAAATTGTTCTGAAATTGAGATTATCAGGTAATAACTATTTTTAGTATTTTTACTCTATATAATAGATATTATTCATCGAATGGACCAAATGCGAGGTATGCATACGCGATTCAAGCAGGTAGTATCAAGAATTTATTTACGTATATCTAGGATTCGATCTCATTATCAAGATTTGACATTTTAGTTGAAGTAATACGTAGTCTATTGTGAGAAAAATGAAGTTTAAAGATTTATGCTGATACATTTATGTTTAATACAATAAATTACACTACGATAATTACATGTTGCTTCTGTATACATTAATTATATGATATTCTGTATATAAGAGATATATTTTCTTTTACAAATTTAAATATTATTCGACGATTCAATGGGAATTGTCATCAGGCATCATCGTGAATCCAGTTATTTCCTCGTTGGCACTGCAACTCAGAAAATGAAATAAACGCGGGGTATAGAAATTTGTCTCTACCAAATTAGTTTCATAAATATTTCTATATTTTTTAAGTTTTCTTCATATAGCAAAAGAATTATAAATTGCAGTTACTAATGACTTACCCATTAAAAATCAAATCAGGCTAATTGTTGCAAAAATAATTATAAGTTTTGGTGTAGAATTTGGTCGATTTTCTCCCGGGTTTCATTCAACATCTTCCTTTTATTGCGATTATATGTTTCAATCGCTCTTTCACGTATTTCTCCCCATTCGTACAAATGTTGAAATATAGGACATGCGTAATTTGGCGAACAATTTTCAGTAGCAAAATTCAAAGCTTGCGTAACTTTGAAGCCAGCCCATCGAACTTTAATGCACAATAGCAGCCAAAGAAACCTGTGAAATACGTGATGCACTTTACATTAAGCAACTGCAAATTAATTAAAATGAAGATATGCATATTTACCGTATTTTTTCATTTCTGATAACTGCGAAGTAACGGTCGTGAATATAAAACAGTTTATGTATGGTCAGCATACTATGAAAATAATGTAGTCTGTTTAATAACATCATTTTCTGAACGTCGTCTAGGCTCTTCTCGTTTTCTGTCACAAGAGAAGGTACATTATGACCATCCCATTTGATCCAATTATCAACAAATAGGTAACAATTCCGTTCCCACAAGGACATTTGCGACAAATTCGGCACGATAGGTGTAGAAAAAATGTCACCAAACCACAACTCCCAATCAACACCATTTAACATCTGAAATCAATAAAAAAAAGTCATTATTTTTAATGTTAAACATATAAATACTGATAAAACTGTAGTTTGTATGTATAAAAAGGACGTTACCTCCCTATTGTTAGGAAATCGTTGATACAAGTAGTTTACAAAAGCAATAGTATTAATACTTCTAAATGCAAAATTATTAAAATAAGATTTAAGAAATGGTTCGAATAATGTGGATCCTCCTAACTTATTCTCTAGATGACATAAAAAAAAATATCCCCTCTCGTAAGGCACGTATTTAGTGGTTATCTCAGGTGCAGACAAATATTCCAAATTGGGTAATAAGCATCTTAGCTTGTTGACATTTTTGGGTTCTAGGACCTACAATACAATTTACACAATACAATATGAGAAAATAATCTATTAAGAATTCAGAAATTGGGTGTGTGTTTATAGTGCATACAATGTAAAATATTACCAATTGGTGACATTATTTATCACATTTATTTCTTTACTTAGTCAAAGTGAATATCTTACCAGACTATTAAGATTCTCTAATCCTTCCCTTTGAAGAAAAACATCTATGTCATTATGATACAAATCAGATATCTCATACAAAACTCTGCATTTAATTTTTCTGGAAATAAAAAGGCTAAAACTCTTATTTAACCACAAATGCTCATAATTCTCACACGTAACTAAATTTCCAGCCCAGCTCTGGGAAATGTTCCGAGCTAGAGAATAACCGATGTAAGAACGATCTCCGCCAAGTAGAGTCGACGGAATAAATGTCACGTTTGGACATTCTATTTCGAAATGAGCGATACTTGGTGGAAGCACGCATATATCGTATTTACCTAGAAATATTATTTTAAACGTATAAATAACAAAAAAAAAACAAAAAAAAAAGATTGCACTGCAAATCCAAGTGCGTTATTTTTACACAAAAACGTTTAATCTTCTGCACCTTCGATTAAACTCACTCTTCATCGCTTTCTAACTGGTTCTCTTAAAAAGAGTTAATCGACGTTGGCCCTAAAAATAACACATTTGACCGAAGCTCTTTTAACACGCTTCTTTATGTGTTGAATTACGTCACTGACCACGCATATAATCGTATAAAATTAAAAGTTAATATGTCCAATTGTGTTAAATGGCATGATTTAAAACGGCAAGAAATGTGTATGAAAAGCATCAACTAAAATTAATACACTTGGGTTTGCAGTGCGATAATGCAGAAAAATAAAAATTCATTATATATACGTATAAATTTAAATAATTATATCAAAATTATTTTAAAAAATTTAAAGAAATTTAAATTTAACTCTATTTAAATAAATAATATTAAAAAATCTAGTCAATATCTTACCCCACACATAAGGTCCACATAAGTTGTTGGCAATTTGCAACATAGATTCAATCATATTGTATCGAAAATTATTGAAATTATTAGACCGAAAAATGTTCTCTTCGGCAAATATACTTATTCTTTCAGTAAGTTGTTTTGTCCGTAATGAACCAACAGCAATAACCACCGCATAAGACGGTACCTTTTTCTCTTGACGGAATATATGTACATCTAGTTCCGGACCTTCGTGTACACCTTGCGAACGGGCGGACATTAGAACTGTATAAGGTTTTCGTACCCGAATCTAAAAAATGAAATATACGTATCGTATATAAAAATTAAATACATATTTTATTTTAGTTGACTGAAGCAGTTTCTAAGAAAATATGGGCATTTGTTTTTAAAAACGTTTAATTTCTTTTTGACTAATGCGGTCCATTTCTTCGTCAATATTACTTTTATCAATAATGTCAGTAGTAATTAATCGAATGTCATTGATTTTATGTAAACAAATAAATGGGGGTAGCATGCAAAAATACCACCTGTGTTTAAATTCTTACCACAGCAGAGTACGTAAATTTGACAGATGGAGTGTCCTGGCAAGGAAACCATGATCGTGCGTAAATTAGCTGAAAAAATAGAAGCTTTTAAATAATCTATGTTGATGTAGGAAAATGTCTTTTTTAGCCAATTTACCTTGTTGTTAGACAGTAAAAAGGAATGTCTACCATAGGCAGTTTGCTCAGGTGTTAGCCAATATAATGCAAATGAGTATGGAGTTGTTTTATATTCAATTTCAATTTTACAGCTGAAAATATCGTATTGTTGGTGTCATCAATTCTTACATCAATAACATTTAGTAAATATATTTCTTTATAAATATCTTATAGTTATATTTACCCAGGGTCATAAGTAGTGCCACTAATTGATGGTAAAACTATGTGAACTAAACTTCCACAGGTATGATTAATTCCAATATGATGATGTAAAATTGTTCCATCAAGCGGGTTTGTGACACGTCTTATATCAAGTCCGAGGCTATCTAAAATCTAATTATTCGATATTACATATAATAACCTGCTTTCAAAATGTTTACTCGATATGAAAGGAAATGTCTCTACTCACTATATGATTAATCATAGGTTTTCTTTCTATAGTCAAAATCGCTGTTCCTTCAAGAACTCTTTGATCGAAATCCACCATCAAGTTTAAATGGATATCGGTTACACGTGGCAAATCTTATATAAGTAGAAAGATAAAAAAATATAAGTAATAAATAATGATATATAAATGTAACGAGTACATACACGACAAAGAATAATATATTGTAATTAAAATTATTATGATAATTGCGTGTAATATATTATTTGTAAAATGCAAGCAATTTTCAGACCGTTATGCTAGATACAATATATTTTATACATTTAAGAAGATACGCAGAATGTTGTCAGTTAATAAAAACTGTAAGATAATAATCTAATTTTGAAAATTTGTACGTTACTATAGAATCAAGTATACGTGTAGCAATTTTCATTTCAAACATCTATGAATTCCGCACTTTCTTATTTTATTGTAATTTTTTTTAAGAAAAAACTAAATAAGTTTAAGTATTTTTATTATGCTTATAATGTAGCTAATTAAATAATTAAAATACCTGGTAACGCAAATGAATGTGGATCTCTTGTAGAACTGGAAAAATCCATTTTAGAAGAGTCACGTTGTAGCCTCTTCAATCGACTTGCGATAATAGAACTGTGTATGTCTAAACTGGCCGCACAAGGGCACAGTATTGCTTTCAACTTCTCTCACCTTCTTATGTCTAGCGATATATTCTGTTTATTAGAACGTCAAAGTGACTGTGACCTTTCCGCACACAAACAAATTCGACTTATTTGAATTCAGTAAATATAACTGTGTACCGTCACATACTTTGAAACGGAGTTACTTTAATTATATTTTCTCTAGCTCGTCTTTTTTTCTATTTTTAATACTCAGATACATATTTCCTTTATTCTAAATAGGCAAATAGCATGAGTGGCAGTAAAAAGGGGCATATGCCCTCCTTTTATTTTAACTTTTTCGATTTAGAATAATTTTATGATTGACAATCAGAAACTTTTTTTTAAATTTATACAAGAGTAAAAATCTGCATGAATATTTCTTCAACAAATATTATTTAAAAATACCTTTGTCTGGCAGAGCTTTATACATATAAATCGAAAACTTCCATGGAAACATTGGAAACTGTTTTTTTTTTTTTTTTTTTAATAATCGAACTCGATCAATAAGTGGTATTTTATCTTCTGAGAGTTATTATAAAATTTACTAGAGTATCTACGATTCAAGATTAATCAACTCCCTGGAAGTTAAGAAATTCAAAGAATTTAAAATTTGGCTTTTCCGAATAATTATATTTCACCGTTTTTTTTTTCAAATAGATACATTATAATTCGTAAAATTTTTATAATTTATACCAAATTAAATATCTTATTTCTTAACTTCCAGTCTTTCACAACCTGAACAAAAAAATGGTACCCCTAAGTATATTAGCACTCTACCCTCCCCCCCTTGAAAAAAGTTGTAAGGGCGCCTATGACAGAAAGTGAATAAATAGGTGATAAGGAAGATATTTCTCGTGTCCGTCCACATGCAACGAATACAGTCAACTTGCCCGTTAAGTTTTCAATCCTTTGGGTAAAGAGTCACTACCACCGCGCCAGTGACGTTACTCGTGTGGGAGTTATAGTTGGCAAAGAGCCATGTGATATCATGATGCTTAAAAAAATAAATACTGGACTTCGCGAGACATGCGCACACATATATTAATGGACATGAAATATCTAGATTCAGCAAATAATATAAAATATATACAAAATGTTTTAAAAGCTTGTATGATAAACTTGTAGAAAATACTTTCCTATGTTATTCCGACATTTGTTTTAAATGTTTAAGTGAACTAAAGAACGAATAAACAAGTTTATTTATACGTACAACATATAAGTTCTTAGATTATTTTATAATAATGAAGTAATTTTTACTCGATTATATATAGTTATTCAATTATATATAATAAACATTTTATATAATATTAGATTATTTGGTATGTAAATATAAATAAGCAATTAGAATTAATAAATATTGTTAAATTAAATATTATTTGCATTAAACATGTCGTCAGAATAGCGATAAAATAAAAGCATCAATTTTGCCGTCAAAATAGAATAAATAAAAATAATTATTTAAAAAGAACATTTTTTTACACAAGGGTGTGAACGATTGAACATTTGAGTTCAATACAGTTTACAGTTCTGTGGTCTGAGGTAGACTTTCATCGTCGCTTAATACAATATTATCATTTAAGAGAATTAGATTGTAATTTAATTTACTTCCAAATTCATCATCGATGTACATATCCTCAATTGTATATTGGCTGCCTTGCATGTTCTGTAACAAAGATCGAATAAACAATTTATATTAGTAACAAAAAACAGTAACCTATTTCAGATCCAATTCCCATTTCATTATGACTTGTGTATGCCTATTTACCTTTTTACATATAGTCCTTGGGGTATATATCATTGCCAAATTATTCAGTCTTGCGGGTAGAGAACGCCTTCTTGGTGAGTCTTTCATTACAGCACTGTTCAAAATAGTACGTACATTAACATATTCTCTTTCATCTGCTCTAATTTTTTGCGGAGTTGATATAATCCCATTTGCAAAGGGTATCTTATCTTGATTCGTTTCATGTGAGTTTATTGGCTGTTGACTGCGCGCTGATATTTCAGATTCAATTGATGTTTTTGTAGTCGTGGAACTGAGCGTCTGGCTATTTATGAAAGCTTGATTCAAGATCTGTTCGTGTCTTGCGGTAGTTTCGTCATTAGCTTTTGTACTTTCAACTTCATCCATCCCCAGAAAATTCTCGTTGCCGGATGTCGATCTTTCGATAACATTGATCTCTTTGTCATTATATTTCGTTCCATATAAATCCTCGAATACAGTTTCGCATTCTTGTATATTATTCAAATCGAACTTAGAATTGTAAATTTTAGGTGTTGTCGAGCATATTATTTCTGTGGCACGATCGAGGGCATTCCTCAGATTTTGTAGGGATTTATTTGAGGTAGTTGAAATCTTCGTAGACACACTACTTAGGTCTTTTGGTGATTCTTTGTTATCTTCAGTACAATTACCTTTGGTGACAATAGATAATAACTGAATTATATCATGGAATATTATGTAAGATCAAATAAAAATTAAAGTAGAAAGCTCTGATATTGGATATCTAATATCTAATTGGAAGACGAGCTGGATAACTAAGAAGTGTCAGGCGCGATTGGACGACCGTGTGGGAGTTTTATTTATTTCTGGGTTGTACACTGGGTTGGGACTAAGATGTGTACATACTGTGCCCCCGCGGTCGGATTTTTTGTGATTTTTTGGTGGCTGCGTACCTCTTTCTCGGATGCGCATTTCGCTTTTACGAAGTGCTTAATTTCGGTTCCCATTGGAAAACGCCGTGGCGCCGTCGATGAAAGTGCGGCCATGGCATGTCTATCCCGGATGGCATGTCATGGCGTGCCCGAGACAGTCGGCCAATTTGGCTATTAATAGCCGAATTGGCTGACCAGCTGCGCGCGTTTCTCTATGGGGATGTGTTCCGCGCCGGGTGGGTCGTTTTTTTAGGTATTACGAAAGTTGGGTGTTTTGGCTGCGTTCGGAAACGTCATCCGAATGCACACGAGTACACTCCCTTCTCTTTCTATCGCAGCAAGTTAGAAGGAGAAGGGAGTATATCCGTGTGTACCCGGGCGTTTCCGAACGCAGCCTTTGTAAACTATGGGACTATGACGTATTACCTTAGTGCATCTCCGGGTCCCTGGCACACCAGAGACTGGTTGTCGCAGGGGTGGGTTTTTTAGTGAGTGCGAGTCCCACATAATGGACACATGCATGTTTTAACTGACGATGCTGAAAATGGTCCGGAAATAGGACCGAAACGTATGAGAAAATAAATTTTAATAATCAAGAATAATTTGCGCACCGTTTACTGCGCTTGACTCTGTTTAATTAACCCGCTCCTCTTCCAAATGAAATAAATTTTATATTATCCAATAATAATAATTCTTGGAAAATAATAATAAATATATCTCTTTCAATTTACCTTCCTCCGTAATCCCAATTGTATATGTGGTATCAGCATTTTTTACAAATGGTATGGTATTTATATCATCAATGGTATTACAAATTGTTTGTTGCGGCAGTAAGAAATCCTAAAAGTATAAAATAATATTAAAATATATACACGTGAGTTTTTAATAATATAAAAAATGTTAAGATAATAATAATATAAATAATAATATTGTATATGCCTTAGTGTGGTCTTTAGTATCGTGTGCCATTCGTGATAAGCAAATTTCTTTTTCTTTTCTCCATAATGTTGATTCATAAAAGCTACTGGCGTCAGAATGCAAAACCTGAGGTTGCATTATTGCATGTTTAATGCTGGAAGGCATGCCCATGTATGGTACCTGTGGCAAAAAGATAACGTATATGAGTAAAATATTAAAAGAATTATAGTGAATATATTCATATTCCATATACATATTTATAAAAAATAGTTTAGAAAGATTGATTCATGTTGTTAATAAAACTTTCGAAATAAAGTACCTTTCGCCGTGGTGTATGTAATAATTTTGAAATGGCTCCACCATATTCACTGGGTGATTTATTGTATTTAGGTTCTATAGCGGTTGTATGACTAGCTGGTTTACATTGTACATAATCGGGACTCTTTTCTTGCGACAATAATGAGCTTGTGGCTTTTGGACCTGATACGCATAAAATCATAAGTTTAATTAAAGTGCTAGATTTTAAGATATAGAGAAAAAAAATCAGAATTTATTTTAATTATCATCATATGCATTCGACACATTCTTCTTGATTATTTTAATAAGACCTTTTTATATTTCTATATCGATCTCAGTAAGATGTAATGTAATATACTTATCATTTGTACATTAATTTTACTTACTTGGAGTTGAGTAAGAAAAGGACGTCGAGTCGCTCCCAAAGAAGAAATCTTCCCTTCTACTAGCTATCAGTTTTTTTAATCGTTTTATATTAGCTCGTGCATTACTTCCCTCATCGAGGTCTTGCACCATGTTTGAAATTTCTGCACAACGAGTGCATGAGGTAGTAGTGGTACTCTTTACTTTAATCACGGGACTCACGATACTATCATTGATTACAGATGTAACCATCTTTTTGATATTATTTTTGGAGTCCGAATCCTCATTGCATTGCTCCTTCTTAGATTTGAGAAGTTGATTGGACGTAGATTTTTTCTCCGTCGTAGGATGATATGATTGTCCGGCGAATGGTTTTTTGATCAACACCTTATTTTGTGTAGGTGACACAGGAGAAGTCTTTTGATACAATGTGTCATTATACAAAAGATCATTATTATTTCCGTTTACATTTATAAACGTGTCATTCTTCTCTTCTTCCTCGTATATCATCTTAAAAAATTTGAAAAAATTGTAAGTAACGTGAGTAAATTACACGAAGAATCAATAACCGACAAAAGGTGCGCAAATTCTAAAAAATTGTATTGCTCATGTAAATTCACCAGTAGCCTATGAAGTTTTCTTGCTATTTTGTCCATGTCCAACATTATTTTCGTCTCGTCAGAATGCAATCCAGCTTCCAGTAAGCTATGAAGGATCGATGGAACATTCTGTAAGTTTATAATAACATCTCGTTTTCGCATCACGTGCTGTCGTTCTACATTTGGTTGATCGTATCCGCTCCACGGTACACTTCCTATGGAATGTTAAACAATAATTATCAAACTGCTATCAATTATTTTGTTCCTTTGTGATACAATAAATGCAATTTCAATATTTTATTTTAAAAATATTCTAATGCCTTTTTAATTAAAAAGCAGGAAATTATATTAATATGCTTACCTGTACACATTTCCCAGAGTAACAGCATTAAGCAGTAAACATCGATTTTTTTATTGGGATGTTGCCCGTAACATAACGCCGGTGCTTGCCATTTGAAGTTTTCCAATCGCAAATATCTTTCGTAATCGCGTTCCACATAAACCTACAAGTAAAAGACATAACATGAATATTTCATTGTAGAAGAAAACAACGTTAAAAACAAATTTCGTATTGAATTATACATGCCACAAATATTCTCTCTGTATTAAATAAGGGATAAATCTAATTAGAAAACGGCAATATAAACTCGCAAAACTGTTAAGATAAGATAAAAAGAATCGTGATTAATGTTCAGATTATAAATGCAATTAGTTGCACGAAATATAGTAGCTTTACATTTTTTTGGACTCTTATTTATCTTCGCGATAAGATTTCCTCGCACGTGGTTTTACGTTAACGTAAGTATAATCTTTATCGTAGAAAATAATCTACCATATTTAATTTCGATTACGATTAACGAGAGTTCCGCGTTCCAGACGGCGCGTGCGATTAACATCGACACGGTACAGCGAATTTATTCAGAAACGGACATTTTGTCGAAAACAATGCCGGTCGTTTCCGTTAGTGAAACGCTCACAGGTGTGTCATGGAATCGCGGATATGACGTGATCCGTTTCATTATAGTCTATTTTACCTGTGAACTTTTTAAATCTGCTAACAAACCTTAAATTCATAAAAGTGCATTCGGATGCGTAAGCTAAAAACGTGTAAAAACGTGGAAATATATATAAGTGAAACGATCTATTTACTTCTAAATTCATATAAATTCTATATTCGCAAATTAATTAAATCATTTAAAAAGATATTTTTATAGATCTTTACTTTGAAACAATTGATACTTGAAAAGTTTTACATTTACATGTGCAATGGTATTGTATATTTTAAGGTAAAATTATACTAGCATTTTGGGAATAAAGTGAGGGATATAGAGCTTAAATTCCACATACTTTTTCCATTTCTTTAGCCAGTTCCCATCCGCCAAGCTTGACAGTCGTGCCAGATGCAAAATACACGCAGTGCGAGCTAATCGCTGTGTGAATGTATCCTCGCATATGACAGTATTTTAACGCGTCCGCTAGTTTCATGCCGATTTGCATGATTCCTTGTGTATTTATTCGTTCGCCTTGCTCGTGTATGTAATTGTACAAAGAGCAGTCGATGGGTTCGAAGATGGAGACGAGGCCGTGTTCATTTGTATACGTTGTAGCCATTAGCAGCAATATGTTAGGATGCCGAATTTCGCTGCAATAATGCAAGATTACGATCATGTTATACATATAAAGCAGACAGGATATCCTTGATTATGCTATTTCTTTTTTAAACAATAGTTGATATTTATCTTAATATAACGTTAATTAAAACAACGAATTTTGACTTTTAGGCTGGCTGATTCTTTGTACGTTTTGATTTTCTTATTTTAAGAACTAGTGATTTTAATGTACTCCTTTATTCATACGAGAACACTCACATACGGAAACGGAGCGGTTCTTACCTGAGGATTTCCACGTCTGCTTTTATCGCATCCCGACATGTCGGCAAAATATGTCTCTTCAGCGTCACTTTCGTATTGTGCCATTCTGCAGAAACTAATTCGAGACATTTGTTTTCCGTGCCTGCAATACATCCAATCTCGAATATTTCGGAAGCACGTATGTGCGGTACACCTGGTATAAACTGTGCGGACTTCCGCGGCTTTCGATTGTCTTTTTGCGAGGACTGCTCGGCGTTCTGTTCCTTGGGCAGATAAACGATCCAATCCGGATCGGTGATGTCTCCGTTTGATGTTTGACAGTGATTCGCAAACTGTTGTAATAAATTGCGGTAATATTCACTGCAAAGAAGCATCTTAAGATTAGTCCACTGATCTCATTAGATGTAAATAAGTAGATTTTAGCTGTAAGATATAACATCAAAACAAGAAAATGCTATTTATCTACAATAAATGTTCATTTTATTTCATTCTGTAGCACCAAGTCTTAAAACTTTCTCAATGATTTGATCAATAAATAATTTAGAATATGTACGTAAAAATATGCGACCAAAATCAAATGAAACTTCTTAAAGTTATGATAAAGATGAATTCAGCATTGTTGGTTATCTTTCAGGATACGAGTTAATTATGGTTTTTTTTTTTTTCCCCAAAGTAAATGAGAACATGCAAATGTGTCTTCAATTAAACTTACAAATTATGATCGTCTCATCCTGTGATCACTTCCACATTAAGAACACATAAATAGTATACAACAAAGAAAATTATTGCATAAATAATAACATTTATATCAGTTTCAATTATCACATACATATAATACCTTTTAATACTGGATTTTAATGCTGCCACTTTCTCAAGTCATAAAATACAAAACTGAATAAACTAGCAAAATAAGTATGCGCGTATAATAACAATTTAAAAGTTATAGGTTATAGTCACTGATAATTGTTTCAATGTGATAATTGACATTGACATAAATGTGTTACACTATATGTATTATTATACACTATGGGCCGGTCTCACAGTCTCCGATTAACGTGATTCTCCGATTAAACTCACTCTTCGTCTCTTTCTAGGGGGATAGTTAGAAAGAGATGCAGAGTGAGTTTAATCGGAGAATCACGTTAATCGGAGACTGTGAGACCGGCCCATAATGTATCAAATTATAGATATTGTCTAGAGAATTTTATCTATTAACAGCCGTATGAGTTATTTTTAATTTTGGAATTAATTACTTTGCCGAAATATTTTTACTTGGACTGTGTCTTTCTATTTTCTATTATAATATTTTCAATTGTATGATTTTTTATTTGTGTCGATTACCTTGCACAGTAAAGCCCCTTGCACAATAGACGAAGCGATAGCGATAGCGACAGCGACAAAGTTGCCGACAAAGCTATATATACCTTTGTCGGCAGCTTTATCGCTGTCGTTATCGCTATCGCCTATTGTGCAAGGGGCTTAAGAGATTCAAGCACATAAACAGATCGAAGAAAATAGCACGATATGCGCTATGGATATCAATATCAAATATTTTTGTTTGGCGTGGAGATACTGTCGATATATTTAACATGCATTATGTTTAATAAACTGATTAATTTTTTAGCGCTTTTATCAGTTTAATTTGATACGAATATCGGCGACCTTCACCTCGTACCGAGCATAATAGCACGTCGATACAAATTTACCGTTTTCTTAAGCCAGAAAATTATGTAAACTGCTTTTTCTTTCTCTTAAAATGTATGAAGATAACGAAAATGATATAACAAATATTAAACATATTTAAGACAGAGTATTGTTTTTAAATTACATAAATAAAAGAAATAATAACCAGAAGCTTGATTTAACGCGTTAAAATTAAAAAAAATTAATTTCTTTTGTAATGAATTACGGCATATCTCACGTTAATACAGTTTACACATCGACATATAAATATCATTCACGAGAATATTATGCTCTTAATCTATTTTGGAATTTATAGTCACGTATCACATAGCTCAGATAGGATCACAAATCATTTCCATATATATATATATTATTATCGAACGGATCAGGCATACATTCAGCAAATAATTGATTCATTGATTAAATGACTGAAAACGCAAGTGCATATAACATATAAAGCATTCTACATAATTGTTAAAAATATACAAACATATGCTATAATTTAAACAAATAAAAAGTCAGGCAATGTAAAATGGATCAAATGGATAAAATCGAACGCACGCAGAACCTAAAAATTGAGGAGACCATGATACATTTTTTCCTCTCTTCAACATTTTTTTCAAACACTATCGGCATTTTCCTCTTTCATTATCGATTTAGAATGAATAGGAACTTACTTGAACCATTTAACTATTTTGTATACACCCATGCTGCACGTGGTCGACCGGCGCTGCCAAACTTCGACAGGTTGATTGACGTCGCGCGATGCCGACGAGCACTACGAAAGTACGAAACTCGACTAAACACTCACGAGAACGCCGCGCGCAATCCGCTCTCTTCTCACGACTGAACCGCGAAACTGCGGTGCGGTGGCAAAATTGTATGCGGCCGGACGATACCTCGATTCTGATAGTTTCGATGGGCGTAGTTTTAGGCACGGGCGGCACGGCTCGCCATCATTCCCACTCCATTCTTTCGTCCTGTAGCGTTCGATTGATTGGCTGATCCCTCTACGTGAAAACAGCGATAAGCGGAAGGACGAGGTACCTATTGAAGTACCAATTTAAAGTTGGGAAAAATCTATTCAAGCATACCTATATAAAATACACGCAATTAGAGGGAGCTCGATTGTAAAACTGTGTGCAAAGGATTGCGTTGCAACTTGCAACTATATTCTATGGTTTCCAAACCTTTAAAAAGATTGAATTATATTTAGACTTACACAAAATAAACTTACCATTAGTATACTGCTATAAAGTTTAATAAATTTAATTACGATTAAATAATCGTAAAAAATTTTTATACGTAGAAAATTAAAGTTATTGAAAATGTGCAAAATTTAAAAAGATTTTCTGTAAAAACAAATGGTATTTAATAATATAAATTTTTTTT